ATATTAATATTAATACCAACACTAATACTACAACTAATACTAATATTAATACTAATACTATTATTAATACTATTACTAATATTAATATGTTAATATTGTTAATGTTAATGCTAATACTAATTTTGATGCTAATGCTAATATAGATATGCTAATTATTATGCTAATGCTAATTAGTTGTAATTCTAATATTATCCAAATCCTTATTATATTACTAATTTTATTTGTAACACTAATCATAGTTCTAATCGTAATCCTTATCATAATCCTATTCTTAACACTAATCATAAGCCTAATAATTTTAATACTAATAATGCTAATGCTAATGCTAATATTAATTCTAATTCTAATTTTAATCTTAATTATAATTCTAATCCCAATTCTAATGCTAATCATAATCTTAATACTAATGCATGTCACTAATTATCGTACTAAGCATAATCATAATTTTAATTATAATTCTAATACTAATATTAATCATAATCCTAATATTATATTAATCCTAATTACAATCTGAATCATATTTCTGGTATTAATACTAATACTAATTCAAAGAATCTTAATTATAATTATAATTCTAATACTAATATTAATCACAAATTCTGATTTTGCAACAATTTATTTATTATTAATTTTTTTTGCAATGATCTAGTATTTAGTATAATTCAATCTCGAACATTTAATATTTAATTATATTATCAAACTGACATTAAAATTATTTAAAATATTATAAGGGTATAAGCAAACGTTAAGACGTAAAAGAACAATAATCATTGTTAATAAGATAAATTATGAAAATCCTCATGAACTTAGGCTAAATTACAGAAAACACCCCCACTTATCGGTGATTACCAAAATCTCCCTGATGTTTGTTTCTGTCTTACACGACCCCTTGTGGTGTGATTTTTTTACGTAATCTTTTTTATTCTATGTAATGTCTCAAAAAATATGGAGTCTACCCTTACAGACGTGACATTTCTTTTATCGTACTTTATAAACTCAAAAATTAATCTCAGGGGTGGTCATGGTAATAATAAAAATTTGTGAAAGTGTTATTTAAGAAGAATAAAGATTTCGTGTAAAGTTCACATGAGGGTAATTTTTGTTTTTAAAAAGTACCATAAAGAAATGTCGTGTGTGCATGGTATAATAAGCATTATTGGACCACGTAATAAAAAAATTCCTTGACAAATCATACCATAAGGGGGTCGATGTAAGACGGAAACAAACATTAGGGGAATTATTAATATAAACTATTTATGGCAAGAGCACTTCGAGTGGGATTATTAAAGGAGCTATCAAAATATTTAACCACCATTTTTATACTCCAAAATAGTAATTTTTAATTCTAATAGAGTTATGAAATGAGGTATTTTGATACTTCATCTTTCAGAATGTAAAAATACATTATGCAATCATGCAAAATAAAATATCAAACATGAGTTATGAATTTAATCACATCAGTGTCCATTTAGAAAATAACATGTGGCAATAAAATATATTTAATTAACAACTATTTAATAACTATGGTTGGAGCAAATACATTTAGATAAATATCAAAATAAAATATTAAATAGCACATAAATATTTGCAAACTCATTTTGATACTTTTGGGTTGGAGTTGCTGTAAATATTTACTTAATTATATTTATTAGAGTTATAATGAAATACTTATTAGTGGAATACATTATATAGTATATACGACCATTATACATTTTAAACAAAACAATTGATATTCTTAATGTTAGCCATTAAATAAAGTGGATAAACGAATTTAATACCAAAGATTTAGAATTTATTATATTTTGAAATATATAAAATCAATTCGTTTATTTATCAATTGATTAAACTTAACTTAAGTTATTCAATTTATTAGTATAATCATGATAAGATTTGTATTTTAATTAGTATATAATTTAAAAAGTTAAATCAATCGTAAAATTTATTGTTACTGGACTCAGTGAAGAAAAAATAATTATTTAAATAATAACATTAAATTCATGTAGTATAATTTTCAATATGGTAAATAATTGGGAGTACATTACTCTACACATGACATAACAAATAGTGTTTTCGCAAGATAGTAAATTCAAACATGTATCTTTCTTTTTTACAAATAATATTAATATATAATATTAAATTAGTAAAAAATTACATATTCTCTAGTCATGTTCATTTAAAATGTATAATATCAAATAATTTATTCTGCAATATTTTTTGTTAATAAATTCAAGTTTATGAATTAAAATTTAAAAAAATCGTAACACCACCAATTATGCAATTATAATAAGGGAAGATTTTAAATCGAATTTAAATAAATTCAAATTAAATTAATTATAAAATTAAATTAAAAAATAAATTTATTTAGGGTTTCTAAGAAAGTTGATATATTTAGAGCATTTTATAAATGGTAGGATATAAATATATTAATAAAATAATTAAATATATTTAATTACCTTTAATTTTGGAAAATGATGACATGTTTTTTGATGATTTATTTCCACCAATCAATTCGCCACTTGGGATGAAATTAAGGACATGTCATCAATTGAAATTGACAAATGTCAATCAATTAGCTATGCAATTCAACTTTTATATATTATATAGATAATAAATTCATGATAGTAACAAAAATAGTAGAGTCAATTAAATTCTAGAAGGAATATCACCTCAATAATTTTCAGATTAAAAATGGAATGACGCCAGCTATGACGTCAGTATGACTCTAGCATGACGGGGGTGTGACGTGTGTAAAATTTTGTGTTAAACAGATAGGATTGACTAGATATTAGCTTACACCGAAAGATTGTTTATTATTCCCGATACACGGACAGGCTTGTAGCCCAAGACTCTTCAGGCTTATCCGGCTCAGCTCATTTCGGCTAAGCCGACAATATTTTTTTTGCCTTCATCTTTTTATCACTGTCATAACGGCGTTATACCTTTTTAAATATGTGTGAATTCCAATTGCCCCTTGTACTTTGGTTCAGTATCACTTTACCCTTTTTTACTTTCGATTGTATTGATTTGTTCTCTGTACTTGAAAAATTGTCTCAATGTGACACTCGTTGTTCATTGTCAGAGATTTGACCTTAATACCGTTTGGTATAAATTCTGAAATTACAAAACACCATCTCTCCCAGTTTAAATAATTATTAAAAAAAACAAAAATAATAATAAAAAAAACTCAAGACAACGAGAAAACATAGACCACGACGCCAACCACAATTTATTTTAATTTTCTTTTAATTTTTTTAATAATTATTTAAACTGGGAGGGGTGGCGTTTTTGTAATTTTCATACTTAGATCAAACGTGGTCAAATGTCTGAAAACTAACGACGGAGGCCAACATTGTGACAACGTTTCAAGTATAGGGGGAAAATTGATGCAATTAAGAGTAGAAGGAGTTAAAGTGATATCGAACCAAAGTATAAAGGAGAAAAGTATAATTTACCCTTTAAATCTGTATGGGTAGTCTGTAGTTGATTAAATATTTAAATTTATTCATTTGTTATTGTAAATTTTATTATCAACTATCAATTTGCAATTGCTAATTAAATCATTAAATAATTAGGGAAATAATAAGAATATTTGATAATTTGCTATTCAGTTTTTAACTTTTTAAAAATCGTAAAATGGTCCCATAAGATGTTCGGCAGGTGTCCTAAAGTGTTGGAACGTAACGTGTCCGACACTGATCGTTAAAAAGTTGAAGGTAGGAAGTATTAAATACGAAATGTGTCCGACACCGATCGTTAAGAAGTTAAAATTTTCGTGTTACATGACTCGAATGAGATATGATTAAGATAACTCCTATTTGTGTAGACTGTGGTCCTTTTTAAGAGTGATTGATTGAATTTATTTAGGGGCTGTTTGGTTGGGCTGATTTGGGCTGATGGATCTCCTAATCTGACGGGATCGCATATTTGGTTCACTCCAGGTGGATGTGGGATGGAACTTGGGCCCGGGTCCAAATCACCCAAACAACGGATCCCCCATCAGGTCTTTCTAGGTGAGATTGAGTAATCCATTTTTTTTCATCCGTCTCTCACCACTACCCACTACATTATTTTACTTTTATGCCCTAAAAATCATTTATAATTACAAGTCTACCTCGTATATATAGCCGCCCCCAAATTGTTTGCTGAAGCCCTAAAATTGTCTCCGCAAAACATCGTCGTTCATTTTCGATTCTCAATTCTGTGCTCAGTATATTATCGAATCGCGCTTTTTTTTTTTTTTTTTTTTTTGTTTACTTCCGAGTGCTCTGCTATGTCTAACGCTGGCGTACCTGTTATTTTTAGGAGCCCACATACGGAAGTACTCACGCACAAGCGATGATAATAATAGTGCTGTTGTCAATGGCGAGAGTCACGAGGAAGAGAAGGAAATTGAGGCCGAGAGAGAGGGCTACAATTATGATGAAAATGGCGATTCGTTGCAACCTAGCATACTTGGTGGACAGCCAGTTGGTTTTCTGAACAGTCGAGCGGATTGTCGATGAATCAATCAAGCGATGTTTCTTGTAAGATTCTTTTTCGATTCGTTCGTTCTTTTCGATTTGTATGTTCAAACTCGTTTAATTGGTAATTGATAATTAGCATCATGAATGACATATTTAGTTTCACTTTTGGTTTTCCTTCAATTTATTAGTCTATTCAATATTCGATTTTGAGCATTAATATGTGCTGTAGTTTTATCGAATCGTTGTTCTTGAATATTATGGTGTAATAATTAATGCAGATGCTTACTTCATAAAGACTGGATTAGAAAGGGCAGGTAGCATTTCCAAGAATTTGGAATTTTTACGCGAACAGAGTAATGTGATTCCGGAACCTAGTAATCCAGGAACCACATACGTGCAATATTTGGAGGAACTTGCTGAGAAAACTCTTCCGTTATTCCTCTGTCACTTGTACAATATTTATTTCTCACACATAGCCGGTGGACAAGTCATAGCTAAACAGGTATTCCTAGTTCTTGTAGTGTCAATTCAGTGAATTGAACCTTCAATATAAGAAATATATGTTCCAATAAAAAAAATTAAGACATAGTTATGAGAATATGAAGTGTGTGCCACTGTGGTTTATGTAGAGAAATAAATCCGAAGCTTTTGTTCAATCGGGACCTCTTCTATAGTACAATATTGACTTAGCTCGTCAGTTGAGCGCGGTTGCACACCGGAGCATCTGAGTGGAAAACGCAAACCAAATCGGCAGGGCGCGGCAACGGTGCAAGTTCAGAGCTAGAATTTTCATTCTTCGTGAGGTGAGTTCTCTCATATATATATATATATATATATATATATATATATATATATATATATATATATATATATATATATATATATATATATATATATATATATATATATATATATATATATATATATATATATATATATATATATATATATATATATATATTTGTATTTGTGTTGTGAATTGATGTTTTTTTATGAAGCAAATTACACGATTTAAAGGTATCACTGTGCTATGTCAGTTCGACCTTATATGTACCTGTTTTACTGGGTACTAATTTGCGATAATTCAATTTTTTTTAAGCATTCAAAATATGAAAGGTTTGAAATATATAGGTTTTTTTTAGTATTGTCATATGATACCGTTGCGGTTTTTTGTTTGCTTTGTCTGAAATTGCATTACGTTTTAAATTAGTTCTTAATGGTGATTAGGTAATCCTTGAATATCCAGTTTTTGTTATGTTTAATTTTTTCACTGTTGTTTTACTACGAGTATAGATTAGCTGATGAGTTCGAGCAACCTTCGAATTTAGACAATTGCTTGCTACGGTGGACCATATACGATTGGCGTCGACAAGAATATCAATTACTTGTACCTGTGCTTTTCGTTCGAATAAATATCTTTATTAATGCTCGAATCTCGGTGATTGTCGTCGGTAATAGCATGACATAAGTACCAACTTCATCAGCTACTAGTTGAATATGGTAATCAAAGGTTTATGTCTGATTCTTCAAAGTTTCCGCGGTTGACGTCCTGTATAAATAACATGTAAATAAAAGGTCTTCGGATAACCAACGAGTCCGTAAGTCGAGGGACTATTTGTTGGCGTCTACCAATTATATTGTGTTCGCGATGCGGGAAATATCATATGTGCCAAGTTAACAATTCATTACATTTAATTATATACACGAAATTTATTGCAAAACGTAAGAACAAAATAAGCATTTTATCACTGGTCTCACATTACAATAGGCAAAACATAGCCGGGTGTTACATGAAAACACAATGACAACGAGATTAGTATCACGTATAATATTGAGATCATATCTTCTCCTAACATAATTATCACTTTTAGGGCTATTATAATTTGTAAATACAGATCCTACCGAATCAAAAATTTACCTTACTTACCTAGTGTTCCGGACAAGAAACAAAACGGCGCCCCGAGCCAACGAAATGTTATTGAGCTGCTGAAGCTCATGCTCTTAAAAGAAATTGCAACTTAGTTTTCAGAAGAACATGACTAAGTTTCTAATTTTAAAAACGCAAAAAATAATAAATACCTGTAAAGGGGTGGGAGTCTGGGAGATGAATTATTTTTAATGCTGGGATGTGCTATTTTAAATTAATAAATGTAAGGGTGTTAGTGTAATTTACCACATCATTACAATCAATCCTGTGAACCAATCACGGAATTCACAAAACCGGATACAATCCGACTGCACCGAATCGAGCGAACCATATCTGAGTTTGCAGTCTAAATGCATCAATCCATACAGTGTTTTTCGAAAATGATGTCCAAATCCCATCCCATCCCATCAACCCAACCAAAATAGCCCTTAGTATTAACAATATCCATATATCAATCATAGAAATGGACCTATCCAATCTCACATATGACTATATTAGCAGTGTTACTTAATAATAACTAGGTAATACCTATAATATGCCGATTAAAATATAGGTTAATAGCCCCTATATTAGCTTTTAAGGGTTTGAAATAGTAATAATCAATAATCATAACTTTATACTATAACTAATTTAATTAATTATTTGATCGTGTATCAATTTATAGAATATTTGATGGACCACCATTGATTTTGATCATTGTAATTAGGGGTATTCACAAACCGATCAACTGTACTGGATCGAAAATTCGGTGTGTGTCAAATATCGAACCGAAAATTTGGCATGTGCCGGTATCGAACTGAAAATTCGGTTCTTTATTATTTGGTAATTTTGTTTTGAATTACGGTATACGGTTTTGATGCCCGGTATACTATACCGTACCGAATACCGAAATACGGTATTTGAATCATTTAATATTAATATCACGTGCCGGTATCGAACTGAAAATTCGGTTCTTTATTATTTGGTAATTTTTTTTTGAATTACGGTATACGGTTTTGATGCCCGATATACTATGCCGTACCAAATATTGAAATATAGTATTTGAATCATTTAATATTAATATCTCCAATACGCCCCCTCAAGTGCAGACGAATTACATTTGAAGTCTTGCACTTGAAATATTTTTAAATGGGTGGTTGTGGGATTCGAACTCAGGACCTTTCATTTGGCCTGTCTCTGATATCATGTTGAATGACCATCTCAATTAAAAGTTTAAACTGTTAGTGAAATGTTTCATTTAATATTAATATCTTCGAGATTATATGAAATATTATCACGTTTGTACCCGTTGTATCCCATTCGAACTCCACATTTTGAAGCAAGATGATCATACTATGTGTTTTTTGGCTTGTATTATCAGATTGCGATGCATCAGTAACTGTATTTTTACATAAAACGAGTACAAACTAGGATACATTCCACGAAATCTAAATGATTATATTGAATTTTTTACAGCATAAAGATAGATATGTAAGAAAAAATTATAGTTGAAGAGTAGATGTAATAATCAAAACAAGAAGTGTTTTTTCATAAATTAACATTCCTTAGGGTGGTTTTAATTTACCCCAATAGTTAATAACAAAATTGCTTGAACTTTGAAGCTGAAACTAAAAACGCGTTACAATTATTCTTTTTTTTCTTTTTTTTGTTTGTATCGAATGAAACTTTTTCAGGCGGTCTGCTTGTCTGCTACTGAAATATTCCTTAATATGTATGAAAGCGTGCTTCACAAAAAACACTTGTCTCTTTATTTACTGCAGCAGTAAATATTGACCCAAAAACAATCAAATAATTAATTATTGCACGCTCTGCTCTGACCAGATTGCAATTTCACTTGAATGATTAAACACCACGGAGAAAAATAATTGCTTTGCAGTAATTATTTTTTTCTTCTAATTATTACATCATGCATGTGATTTTCTATTAATACTTTAATCAACATTCTATTATAATATCCAATTTTTTATATTGGGGTGTAAATAGGACGGAACGGACTAGAAATGTCGTTTTCGGGAAGAAAAAAACAAATTTTCTCGGAAGGAAAAAATGGATCCCAATTTATGTTCCAAAAAAAACCGGGATGCAAAAATTCATTCTCATTTCGGAATGCCTCGAAATCGGCAGACTATCGGAAATTACATTAGTTTTATAATCTCTTGTTCCAAATTCGAATATAATGGAAATTTTCACAATATTTTCCTATCTGGTTCGAATTTTTGCAGGAAATTGCAAAAAATCCAAAAGAGAATTCGTTGTCAAATAAAATATAACATAAGCTATAATATGGAATTACAAAATATATCATAAAATTATAGTATATATTTTGAAAAACAATCGAAATATTCGAAACTAAAATTTTGTCGGAAATCGAAAAATCTGGTAATTTTATATACAATTCCTATTTCATTCCAAATAAATTCTAAAAAGTAGGAAACCAAAACTTCAAAAATCGAAATAAAAAATACGATTCCAAATTCAGATATTTTCCTATCAGAATTTACGGAGTTTGGAATCCATTCCGATATTCACCCCTAATACATACCTAGCTTGTAATGCAGATAACTAGGTCAAAAAAAATCACCAAAAATGCAATTAATTAATAAATTAGTATGACTTGGTGTTATAAGCAAAGGTGGTCCAAGTCATGTGGGAGAAAAAGACTTGCTAAGTGGACTCATGCTTATAAAATCAACTTTAATTATTAATTAATTTCTTCTATATATAGTTATATCTACATAAATGAATTAGTCCATAACCTATGAAACATTTTATGTTCAAATTGATTTGACCTAGTCCTAATCTTCTAACCCTACAAGATTGTTGAAAGTTTTTAACTTCACTTAGCCTTAGACAATTCGCCGTTACACCGATTCGATTCTTATCCAATTCGATCACAATAGACAATTCGTTCGAGTTTGACTCGACCTATTAAACACAAACTTAATCATAATAACAAAACTCGATAAAATTGACCAAATCAATTTGATAACTCATTGGTAGTGGCAATTCATGCTATATGTATAAAATCGAAAAACTGTATTTCCTTTTTATCATAAAAAAACGCAATTACATCGTCTCTTCCACACGACTGCAATTCAATATAGCAAAAGAGGCCGGTCACACGTGCATGAGTTGCTTTATTAACTTTAATCAAAGCTAATCATAGTCTAAATAATAATTAATATAACTGCACTTTTGTGCCTTTAATTTGGCCTCCCATGCATTGTAGGCCATCGTAACACACTTTATAAAGCTTTTTAAATTTGATTAAAACAGCTACCATTTTAAGAAGGTGAAAATATGATATTGTCTTTTTTTTTTTTTTTTCATTATAGTGAAATCATGATATAAGTGTAGTCAGTGGTGGAGTCAGTATATGGGCAGATCAGGACATGGATCCCCAACATTTTTCAATATTATATTATTTTATATTAAAATTTAAAAGAATTCGGGTGTAAAAGCATTATCGCCCCCTCATAATTCTTTCAATACATTCGGTCAGCTCCCGTGCTTAAAATTCTAGCTCCAGTATTGCTAACGACAATTTTGTTTTGTACTTTATGGTTAATTAGAAATGTTGCAACTCTTATATTGTGTTTAATTTAGGTGATATAATATGTCTAATTTTGCCAAAAACAATTCCTTTTAGGTTGCCACCAAAATATTTTTATTATCATAATTATAATGAATATAATTTTTTTTATTATCATAATTATAGAAAAATAGCATTGGGATTGGAGAATAGAGGAATACTTTCATATCAAGAAAAGGATAAAGCAAAAAACAAATGCACGAAAAAGAGTAGTCTATCCACCTTACTTTTTTTTTTCCCTTACCCCCCCTTAACTTTTTCGAACATTCTTCTAATTCCCTTTTTATTTTTTATTTATTTTTTTGTTCTTTTAATGAATTTAGTGGGATCAAATTTGATTTTGTCATTACTTTTGAAGCAAAAGATAGATTTTGATGATGAACGCACGAATGGTGTTGAGAGGATTCTTTGCTTTTGTTTTATTTATTTTTCTTTTTTCATTTTAGGACTGGAAAGAAGGAAAATAAAAATATTAAATATCACCAGTTTCGATTTGAAAGTTATATTGGAAACAATTTTTTTCGTTTCGAAATTCCAAAATTTTGATATTTGTTCGTTTGTTTTCTTGGATTGGATTTCAATAATATACAAAAGATTGGAATTCCGATTTCTGTTCCAATTTTAATTCCCGAAAGTAAATCCAGAAAACAATAATTTCTTTTTCTTCTTCGAAGGTTCATCTATAAATAATATTTATTTATTTTACTTAGTGCAAACATTTTTAATTTATAAACCATATTGCAAAGTCAAAATTATATCTTACAACATTTTCTCTTTTAATTTGTTGTTTCTCATTGTCCAAGTCTTCAAAATTTCCAAAACTTCTTAGAAATTGTATGGTTTCCAAACTTTTTTTGTAATTATAATAAATTTCTAGGTTTCTAAATTTTAGAATTGGATTTAAAAGTGGTTTTGTGCATTCAAGAAAAAGATAGTAATGTTTAAAAATTACTGATTACAATCCGTTTCGTCCGATTTTCAACCTCAAATACTAAGGCTGTGTTTAGTAAGCTTTTGGGCTTCCATTTCCATTTTATTTTGGGGAAAGATGTTTTGGGAGAAGAATTTGAAAATTAAATAAAGTTTGTTTGTGTTTTGGGAGGAGACAATT